CGGTGCGGTTGGCGCAGGATAGAGCAGGGTTTAGGGCTGTTGTGCATAGGGTCGCTGTGAGTCGGAAACGACTCGACGGCACATAACAACAACAATTAAAATAATAAGAAATTAACGTTATAGTCTGCATCTATGTTTCTTACAAAAGGTATTTGCTATGAATCAATCATTGACTGTGCACAAATCTAACATTCTATCCCCACCCTTATTTCTGTCACCAAGCCCATGTTTCCTGACTACTGATCCTTTTTCCTGATTCCCAATTTTTGTATTCCAGTCACCCAATACTATTAATCCATTTTGGTTGCATGTTTGATCAATTTCTGACTGTAAAAGTTGGTAGAAAGCATCTGTTTTCTCCTCTTTGGCTCTAGTTGTTGGTGCATATATTTGTTTAATAGTGGTATTAACAGGTCTTCCTTGTATGTGAATGGTCTTCCTTTCAAGATGGATCTAGAAATGGAATTTTTAACTATGCACGTTACCCTATTTTTTTATTTCCCCCATTTTTTTCTTAACTTTTCATTTCCATTGTAGCAGATCATATGATTCAAAATGTCCCATTGCAATCTATCTTATTTCACCAATACCTATTTATGTGTTCCATTTCTTAACAATATCCAGTTACCCTACATTCATGCTTCTAACATTCCACGTTCTAATCGTTAGTTTGTGCTTACAACTGTTATTCCTCCTTTGTGTTTCCGATTTTGAGAGTTCAGCCTCAGCTGCCATATCTGTTATTCTACTCTATGTGTGCTCTATTGTACAGAGGATTTCCAAAGGCCTGTTAGATTTCAGAAGTGGATAGTCAATCCTTCTTCCTACTCTGTCTTAATATGGATGCTGAGCTTTGGAAAAATCTGACAAGCATTTTAGTAAAAGGAGCAAATGAAGACACTTCCCCTTACAGAGATCACCATACACAGTGTCCTCCCTCTGCATGTGTGTCTTGTGCCCTTCCCTTCCACTAAACATCAGCATCATTCGCATTCCCCTACCCTGTCCAGCACCTCCTTTCTCCCACGCGAGCTTTTGATATGACAAGTCACCTCTAAGCAAAGTATCATAATGAAATATACAAAGAACTGGAGTCCGAAGGGCCGAACTTGATCAGCATTTAAGATGAAGGAACTAAAGAACAAATTCAAGCTTCAAGTTGCAATTCGTAAGGATGCTATGGGTAGAATATTGAAAGATTCAGGAAATATTAAAAGAAGATGGAAGGAGTACACAGAGTCACTGTACCAAAAAGAAATGGCTGACACAGAAGAATTTCAAGAAACAACATATGATCAAGAGGCAATGGCGGTAAAGGAGGAAGTTCATGTTCCTCTGAAGGAGTTGGCAAAAAATAAAGCCCCAAGAATTGATGGAATAGCAATTGACATATTTCAACAAACAGATTTCTGCACTGGACATGTTCACCATATTGTGCCAAGAAATCTGGCAGACAACTACCTGGCAAACTGACTGGAAGAGATCCATATTTATTCCCATTTAAAAAAAAAAAAGTGACCTTCTGTAAATAAACTCGTAGAAAATACACATACACACACAAAATAGTCACCTGACAAAATGTGGAAATTATCGTACATTATCACTCATATCCCACATAAGCAAAATTCTGCTCAGTATTATCTGGTAACAACTGGAACAGTACATTGACAGAGAACTAGCAGTAACACAAGCTGGGTTTAGAAAAGGCTGTGGCACTAGAGACATTATCGCCAATGTAAGGTGGATGAAGAGAATTAGAGGGATAGCTATCTGCGTTTCATGTACTATGCAAAGGCTTTTGACTGTGTAGATCAAAACAAACTCTTGTTAACTTTGAGGAGTATGGGAAGCCCTCAGAACACAGAGCACTTGACTGTGCTTATGTGAAACCTATACTTGGACCAGGAAGCGGTCCTCAGAACAGAGCAGGTAAACACTGCATGGTTCAAAATCAGGAAGGGAGTGTATCAGGGATGCATCCTTTTCAACCTATATTCAGAGCAGATCATCTGAGAGGCTGGGTTCTATGAGGAGGAATGTGGCACTGGGATCAGAGAAAGACCCATCAACAATGTACATTATGCAGATGACATAACTGTGCTTGCTGCAATGGAGGCAGACATGAAGCACTTGCTGCAGAAGGTCAAGGACTGTAGTCTTCAATATGGATTGAAACTCAACAAAGACAAAGATTCTCACCACTGGACCAACTGGCAGCACCATGATAGATGAAGAGATTAAGGTTGTTAACAATTACATCTTGCTTGGCTCCATAATCAACACTAGCAGCCAGGAAATCAAAAGAGAAATTGCATTAGGTGAATCTACTGCCAGGGAACTTTCCTGAGTACTGAGAAGAAACTAACGACATCAGTCTAGAGACTAAGGTGCATCTGATCCAGTCCATGGTCTTTGCAATTTCTGGCTATGCATCAGGGAGCTGGACAATGACTATGGACGACAAAAGAACTGATGCCTTTGGGTTTTGGTGGTGGAGGAAAGTCTTGTACATACCATGAACTGCCAAGAAAACAAATGGATCTGTCTTGGAGCTGGTGAAACCAAATTTCTCCTTGGAGGATTTTGAAGCTCTGCCTCACAGTATGTGTGCACGTGGCCAGAAGGATATCATGCTCAGAAGCCTGGAGGGACAGTGCAGGAGAGGACGACCTCCAACAAGATGGATTGATACAGTAACTAGTGTAATGGGGGTAGGTGTGCCAGAGTCAGTGAGACTGGCTCAGCGCAGGTTAGGCTTCAGAGCTGGGGTACACTGGGTCACTATGAGTCACAGGCAACTCGATGACACATAACAACAACAACTTAAATGATAAGGCAGTTTACTTTAAATGTTCAAATTTTGATATTTTAGTTGACATTAACATTTATAAATGGAAAAGAGTTTCAAATATTTAAAATAGCATATAACAGTTTTATTTCCAGAGTCAGAATAAGACTTTATTACTCCTTTACATAAAAATTTTATTATCACATTATAAATAACTGCTTTAGAAAAAGATGGATAATCCCATAAGGTTTATGTTATCCGGTTGAAAAAAATATCATATATATTGAAATCTTTAATAATGTTTTGTATCAGAATTGACCCATTGCTGACTCTCCAGTGGATTTTCAGAGGCAGTTAATTGCAAAGGAAGAGACTGCCCAGCGTTCTCCAGTGGAGTAATTAGTGGATCTGAACCCCATGCCCTTAGGTTGGCAGCACAATACCTTACTACTAAGCCACCAGAGCTCATATTAGACTTACAAATTCAAACAAAATATCAGAAAAGTTTTATAAATTCTAATGTAAAATGCTATAGAAAAATACAGAGAAGAATACCTCCGGGTGTTTATTTCTCTTTGCAATCTCACTTGCTGTTTTCCCATCTTTAGTTTGCAGCATTTTGTTAGCTCCAAGTTCAAGTAACTTCAAAACAATATTTTTATGACCCTGACGAGCTGCCCATGTTAAAGCCTGCAAATAGAGGAGGGGAATAAATACAGTTTGAAAAGGGGGAGTTGGTATGACACAGAGAAAAAAAAGTTTTCAATTATATTTACAGCACAATAAAAGAGCAAACGTGGTTAATTAACGGAATGATGCAATCTCTTAATTTCACAATATAATGCAAACATATTTCCAGCATTTAAAGGAACAGGAGCTTGCCAAACCTGATTTTATAAAACCTAATAATGTTTTGCGCTAGAAAATGGTGTTATGCTAATTGCTGAGGCGTTTTCTACCAAATTTATTTTTTTAATTTACCAAAAAGAATTCTCAAGCATATTTCATAGCCCACATTTTATCTTTTCTTTTTTGGTCAGGTCTCAGGGTGTCAAAAGAATTCTCACCTTGTGGCTTCTCTAACTGTTCTTCACAAAAGAGCACTGTATCCCAGTTTTTGTATAGTTACTACCACTTAAAATTCATTTTGAGGATTGTGTAGTTATTACTACTTAAAATTCAATTTGAGGATTACTGAGAATAAGTTATCTATGTTTAAGCAATGAAAAAGTCCACTATAAAAACGCTTCTCACCGTGTAACCATTCTCATCCTGGGTATTAACTTCTGCTCCGTGAGCGACAAGAAGTGCAACAACCTGAGGGTGGCCATCACGGGCCGCATACATGAGCGGGGTCATGAGTCTCCTAAAGAAACATTCGTGTTAACGTTGCCATTAACAGCTAATCAATTTCATTGAACTATACACAAAACCACTAATATTGCTTTGATGGCAATGAAAAAGAAATAAACACAATAAATTAAGTGCTTTAAAAACTCAGTTTCCCAACAAATTAATGTGGAAAATGACATTTTAAAATATTGAATGCTTACACACCACCCTCTAGTGGGGAAACAGAGAAAAACGACTACATAATTTAACATAAAAAGCCATGTTTTTACTGTATTAGGTTTTACTAATGCAGTTATTTGAAAAATATCAGAGTACATTATCCTCATGCTAGAAACAATGGTCCATATTCTCACAAGATCTGCTCATGTTAATAGATTATCTTTTATGTAGAGTAACTGCTAAATTAGTAACAAAAAAGCAAAAGCGAAAGTTTACTTATGGATTTATTCTTAATCTATTATGATAGATTATGGTGACCTCGTAGTAAGAATCTGTGCTGCAATCCTGAAGGCATGCAGTTTGAATCCACCAGCTGCTCTCTTTCTGTGTGATTACTGCCCCTGAAAACCTGCTGGAGGGTCACTTACGGGTCAGTTCTGACTCGCACACCACAACTACATTATGATACACTTGGCTTGAGAAGGAAAAACCTGATCCTCACTAGAACCTGTACTCAGTCAAGACACAGACCAGCTGAATAACCAGTCTAATATTTTCTGAGAGAACAAAGTGATTTAATGTGCCCTTTTCCATAATTAAAGATTCAATCCGGGGAGCTCTGGTGGCCTAGTGGCAAGGAACTGCAACCACAATCCCTGAGGCGCACGGTTCGAATCCACCAGATGCTCTGCCGGGGAAGGAGGGGCAATCTCCTCCTGTACCAGTCAGATCTGATTTGATGGTACACTCACACAAAAATTAAAAAAAAAAAAATTAAAAAAAAAAAGATTCAATCCCTCTCCTTTCAGAAGTCTACTACCTTCTGCACCTATTCTGCACGTTTAAGGCTTGGTTCTAAAAGGAGCAGAATCAACGATGCAGGTGTTGGTTGTTTGTTTGTTTTTATTGGGTTCGCTCTGTAGAGAATGTAATCAGGCCCCTCAAGGCTGTGTAAGCTGGCAAATCCCAAACTCTGCAGGCCGGAAGATTCAGAGGTCAAAGCACGATGAGTCAAGTGCAGGATGGAAAGTAGGCAAACTTTGGCCCAGCGTCCACATATACTGGATGCAAGCCACACATGCAAATAAAAGCTTATTTCAACTGATGCACTCTTTATATATGAGCATAAAATAGAGGATGACTGCAAAATATCTGTCAAATCATTGAGAATAATGGCTTATTCAAGCTGATACACAACCCTAATTATCACACTGAAGAACACCAGAAAAATCTTATTCATTTTATGCAGCTCATTCTTGTCCATTTTCATCTGGCATTTTTGGTTCTATCTTCTCAATCCATCCCCGTAACTGAGTTATAGATAAAATAATTTTTTTAAAAAAAGACCAACATACTTAATTTAAAAATTCTGTGCTTTTATTTCACTAATAAACGTCATTGTGTTATTGCTGATGTATGCCATCAAGCTGGAAATGACTCATAACTGACACACCAGTGTTTCTGTTGTTGTTGTGTACCGTCATGTCAGAACCGGCCCACAGCTGATGCTCCAGTGGGGAGAGGAGATTGTCCATCCTTCTGTGGATTCAAACTGAGTGCTTTTGGAATTGCAGCGCAGTTTCTTGTCACTAGAGGCAGTTAATCACATGGGAGGACACTGCCTTTACTCCCATGGAGAAGCTGGTGATTTCAATACATGCCTTTGTGACTGCAGTGCAATTTCTTTCCTCTAGGCCACTAGAGTTTCCCTTAAGAAACCACATTAATTATAACATTAGAAACATAAAATTCCTCTGTAAGGTTTATCAACATGTCTATTATTAATGTCTATTAATAAATATTTGCAATCTGATCACAAAGATGATTCATTCTATCATCTGTTTCTTCTATTTCCTAGTAAATGACAATCTTTTAAAAAAAATTTTATGGTTGAGAATATACATAGAAAAACATCAATTCAATAAATTTTACATATACAAACCACAGACTATTTCTTATTTCAATGTCAATGATTTGAAGTTAAGGGAGTTGTCTCTTCTAAGCACTACCTCTTCTACTTTGAATGTATTCTACATATTAGCTTTATATAATCTTTACATAATCTTTTCCAATTAAATTTTTATTGGTTTGCATATAATCAGTGTCAGAGACAATGAAATCTGCACAAGACAGCAGCTTCCTATACTTGGACCAGGAAGCAGTCCTCAGAACAGAGGAGGGAAACACTGCATGGTTCAAAATCAGGAAGGGACTGCATCTCCATACCTTTTCAATCTATATGCAGAACAGATCATTAGGTAAGCAGGGCTTTCTGAGGAGGAATGTGACATCAGGATTGGAGGAAAATTCAACAACAATCTATGTTACTTAGATATCACAACTGTGCTTGCTCAAACTGAGGGAGACATAGAGCACTTGCTGCAGGAAGTTCAAGGACTATAGTCTTCAATAAGGACTGAAGCTCAACATCAAGAAGATTCTAACCACTGGACCAATTGGCAGCACCATGATAGATGAGGAGATTGAGGCTGTTAACAATTATATCCTGCTCAGCTCCACAATCAACACTCTTAGCACCAGAAGTCAGGAAATTGGAAGACGACTTGTACTGGGAAAACCTGCTGTTAGGGACCTCTCCAAAGTAGTAAAAAGCAATGATGTCAGTCTAGAGACTAAGGTGTTCCTGATCCAGGCCATGGTCTTCATAATTACTTGCTATATATCAGAGAGCTGTACAATGACTAAGGATGACAGAAGAAGAATCAATGCCTTCTAATTGTGGTGCTGGAGAAGTCTTAAACATATCATGGATTGCCAAGAAAACAAACAGGTATGTCTTGGAGAGGGTGAAACGAAGTTTCTCCTTGGAGGCTAGGATTTTGAAGCTCTTTCTCATATACTTTGGGCATGTGGCCAGGAGAGACTGGTCCTTGGAGAAGGGCACCATGTTCAGAAGGGTGGAGGAACATAGCAGGAGAGGAAGATGCCAAATGAAATGGATTGATACAGTAACTGGGGCAATGAGAGTTGGTATGTTGGAATTAGTGAGACTGGCTCAGGACAGAGCAGGGTTCAGGGCTGTTGTACATTGCTATGGGTTTCAGGTGACTTGATGGCACATAACAAAAATAACAAACTCTGGATTGGGACTGCTGGACTAAACCTAGACTTGCACTGTGTTATATTATTTACTCCTTCTCACCTCCCATTTCCCTAATAAACCCCACAACTATGAGTAAAGTACGTGAGTCAAGATGCAACAAGCACTGAACCCAATGATTCTTAGGAACAAGTGAAGAACCATGTATGGTGGTATGTATGACCATGTAGTTAACACTCCTGGTACCACCATCCAGGAAATCAAAAGATGAACTGCACTGGTCGAGTCAGCTGTCAGGGACCTCTCCAGAGTACTGAAGAGCAATGATGTCAGTCTGGAGACTAAGGTATACCTGATCTAGGCCATAGTCTTTTCAATTGCTTGCTGTGCATCAGAGAGCTGGACAATCACTAGAGATGACAGAAAGAGAACGGATGCCTTTGAGCTGTGGTGTTGGAGAAAGAATGTTGGATATATCACTGACTGGCACGAGAACAAACAGGTTCGTCCCAAGTAGGGTGAAACAAGGTTGCCCCTTGGAGGCAAGGATTCTCAGGCTTCGTCTGACATACTCTGGGCATGTTGCAAGGAGGAGCTGGTCCTCAGAGAGGGCCATCATGCTTGGAAGGGTAGAGGGACAGACAAAGAGAGGAAAACCATCAATGAGATGGATTGAAACAGTGACTTGGGTAATGAGGGTAGGTGCATCAGAGACAGTAAAGTTGGCACAAGATAGAGCAGGTTTCAGGACTATTGTACATAGTATTACTGTGAATCAAAAATGACTTGACAGCACATGACAACAACAGATATTATTAGTGGGGACAGTTTCTTTTAACGAAGCAGGGAGAAGTCAGACTTGGCCACCCTCATGTTGTGTCTGCTCTTTTCACTATTATTTATTCACTTGTTGAATGGCTAGTTCAGAAGTGCAAACTCACCAGCAGGCCTGAGGGCCAAAGATGAGGGCATCCATTATTCCTTTAAAGATTTACAGGCTTGAAAACTCTATGGGGCAGGTCTGTCCTATAGGTTTGATAGAAGTCAAAATTGAGTCAACAGCAGTAGGCCAGTAAGATGTATGTTGCTTGTATCAATGAACTATATCAGATAAAAACAACAGCATTTGCCTAGGTATAGGGCTCAGAAGGAAGGCAGGGGAAAGGATGGGTGGAAACGAGAAACATAAGGAGTCAATGGGAAAAGCGCTGTTAACGACTGTGGAGAATGCAATCAGGTACGAACTAAAATGTATTCTGAAATGGAAAACTAATTTGCTTTGTAAACTTTCATCCAAATCACAATAAAAAATTAAAACACACTCTCACATATAAAACTAAAAAAATCTAGGATTTAAAAAAAATTACCTACAATGGAGTCAATGCTTTCAAATGCAGTTAAAACGGCTTGTTAGTTTCAGTTCTGCATTTTACCAAGAATTCAAAACTTTAAATTGGCCATCTTGGCTCTAATTCTACCTGCTGTCAGAATAATCTCTGTAGAATACAAAGACGCCTAATTTGCTTTTAAAAATGGTTGAGGAGCATTCAGAACAGAGTTCATAGTCTACAGTATGGCCTTAGCTAATAGTATGGTTATCATCTAACGCCTACTTCTAATTTTCTTCTCTAACCTCCAATGATCTTAATATATATATATATATTTGTAACTGACTGAACTGAACATGTTCTCTCTCTTTGTGACCATCCTCTGCAATGAATATTCTTTTCTACCATCTATAGTTGTTTCACTAATGTCCACTCTTCAAATTCAGAAGAGATAAATCTCTAGGA